TGGCGTTGAGCTGGATGTCGCGGTCGCTGTCGAGCGTCTCGGTGCCGCTGGTCCGGTTTGGGTTGGCCGCCGCCGACGACGACATGGTCCGCCCCAGGAAGCCTGCGATGCCTCCGCCACCTGCTCCGCCGGCGACGCTGTGGGCGTCTTCGCTGCCCTTGCTCGCCTCGGCCTCCTTGGCTGCGGTATCGTTCCTCGTCTTGCGCTCGCGGGCCTCGTGGGCCGCAGCCACGAGCTCGAGCAGCTCGCGTCGGATCGGCTGGTGGCGGTCCGCGTGGTCACCGAACGTCTTCCTCGCCGCGGCTGGCGTCGTCGCCGAGGCCGACGTCGAGCTGGCCTTGCGGAAGATGGGCACGCTGGCGGTGCCAAAGACGAGCTCCGGCAGCTCCTCGTCCTCGTCGTCGCCGGCACTGGCGCCGAGGAACGGTGCTGTCGTCGCAGTCGGGGGCGCCGCCGCCGCTGCCGAAGACGCTGCTGCCGCCGCCGCCTGGGTCGAGCCTTGCTGCTGGTTGTCCTTTTCGTGCTCGTCGGCCATGGCGCCAAAGAAGGCCTCGCGGCGCGCCTCGGCCAGGCTCTTGGTGCTGCCGACGGTGCGGAACGACTTGGCGCTGGCCTTGCGCTGCAGCCGGCTGGCCTGCGCGTCTGTCGAGGCGATGCCGTGCTCCTCGTCCTCGTCGCCCTCGTGGTGCTCATGCAGCACCTCGTCCAGGCGGGTACTGCGGACGCGGGTGAGTGGCGAGAAGCCGCTGGAGCCGGCCGAGGCTGCGGCCGTCGTCGTTGGCGGAGGTGCAGGCTGCTGACGTCCACCGCTGCCGACACCAGTGCTTGAGCCTTTGCGTCCGAGCTGTGCCGCCGGGAAGACGGTGCGCGGCGAGGGCATGGCGATCAGCACCGTCACGTTGACCGAGGCCGGGAGCGCATCGTCGCCCACAGGGGTCGTGGTGGCATCCGCATCGTCGCCGCTCGAGGAGCCGGTAACGCCAGCGACGCCTGCAGTTGCGCCGTTGGGCGAGTCGTTGCCGGCGGAGGCCGCCTCGAGGGCACCGCCCGTACCAGCAGCGCCGCCACCGCCGCGGCGGAGGAAGCCAGGCAGGTGCATGTGGCGCGAGACCATGTTGCTGCGGACCTGCGAGGTGGGTGGGTAGGTGCTGCCGTTGGCGCCGCTGCCGTTGCCGCCCTTGTTCTTTTCGCCGTCCTTGGTCGATGCCGTGTCGTTGGGGAAGAGGTCAGAGTAGACGCTCGGAGGCAGGGCAGCAGAGACGGGCTGCAAAGACAAAAGGAACCCAGAGCGTCAAAGGAGTGAAGCAATCGGACGGTGAGCTCGACGGTTTACCGACTGTCTGCTGCGACGGCCAAGCGAAGCTCACCATGACGGCATCCCAGCCGCGGAGCTTGGCTTCCGGATCGGTGCGCTGAGGCATGTAGTCGTGGGCGATCTTGGCCTCCCAGAGTTTCGGTGGGGCGAGGGTGTCTTCGACCTCGCGCGCCTGGCCAAGGATGCGGTCGATGGGCCCGTCGGGCAGCAGTCCCAGCCGCCTCAGCCGGCGGTTGCGGACAATGATGCGCAGAAGGACAAAGGCGACCACCAGGACGAAGAGGGCGATGGCTGTGATCGCAAAGGCAAGGAAGGGAGTGGGCAGGGTGGGACCGGCGGGTGAGCTGCTGCTGCTCATCTGACGCTTGGCAAGGGAGAGAGGCCAGCCGTGATGCACGCCGCTGCCGCGAATGCTGTCCGCGTTGCCAACGACACCGCGCCCACGCTGCAGCTGCGAGATCTGCGCCGCGCGACGTAGCAGCCGAGAGCATCGAGGCCATCGCCGACGAGCGTCGGGTGCAGAGGTCCGGAGTGGACGGATGGCGGCAGCGGGCAAGGCGGGGCAGGGCAGAAAGGAGGCGAAGCAAACAGGGCGGAGCAGGGGGAGTCAGAGGGGAGCCGTCCTTTACTAACCGATGATGAGCGTCTGAGATGGTCCGAAGCAGAGCGCAGGGAGGTCGGATAATTGCGGGGAGGTGCGTGGGGAGGCAAGGGAGGGGGCGGAGCATCGATTGATGGGCGTGAGACTGCTGCGTCGAGGTGTTCGTCGAAGACCGAGGGAGCGGGAGGAGCAAAGTTGACGGAGCAACACGCCGGACGTCGACGCCAGCATCACCCGAAAGTTGGCGTGGCGTGGCAAAAGCATCACCCGCCGGCGTGCGGCGGAGAGCGATCCGCCGGAGGGTGCAGGTGACGGGGAGCGAGAGAAGGAGGAAGGACGGAGTGGGGGCAAGGAGCAAGTCAACTCACAAAGACGCTAGGTGGGGTGCCGTTGCCGTTGCCGCCAAACAGGCCGCCGCCGCTTCCGCTGGTCGACGTGTTGGAGGGCGTGGCAGAAGGCGGTGGTGCCGTCGAGTTGGGGTCCTGCCGGCGTTGCAGGCGTGAGGGATGACTAAGGGCCGCCTGCTCGAGCATGACGGGCGCGTCGACGTCGAGGCTGCGTTGGCCGTCGCTGCGCCGGTTCTTTTGCTGCCACTCCTTGTCGATGGCGGCGACAAAGTCTCCGGCCTCGTGACCGATGTCGCACTGCTTCCACTGGCCTCCGTCGCGGATGCAGCGGACGTGGCCCTCGATGAGGATGGTGCACGAGGTGGTGACGCCGTCGTGCTTGGACCTGGCCACGCTGTCGCGGAGGAGACGACGGCCGAGCTTGCCGTTGACGCAACGCTCGATGCCGTCGCGGTGCCAATCGGGGCCGTCGATGAGGTCGAGGCAGCGCTTGGCGAGGGCCTCTGATCCGATGCGGGCGAGGCCGGCGTAGTTTTGGCACTGGATAAAGTTCCACCACTTTCGCTGTGCGGCGCTCGGGCTGAGGTCCCAGCGGTCCGGTGCGTGCTTGGGATCGAGGGCGTGCTGGAGGCAGAGCTGCTGGATGTTGGCGGCGCACTCCGAGTCGCCGTGCTTGCAGTCGACACCGTAGGTGGCCGACGAGTTGAGTGTGCCGATGTAGGCCATCTCGAGGTGGACCTTTGTGTTTACGCGGTCGAGGGCCTTGTCGAAGGTGGCCTCGCACGCCAGGGCGTCTGGGCAGCGCGACATGACGCCGAGGGTGACATTGACTCGCCTGGTCGAGGGGCCCAGCGAAGAGGCGGGCGATGCGTCACGCGCAGGGTCGGCAAAGACGGCCTGCTGCTGCGGCGATGCATGCGAGGTCGTCGCGGGGATGGCGAGAGCCGATGGCGCGGACGACAGCGAGAGTGCGGCCAGCATGGTGATGAGGACGGCGACGAGCAGCGTGGGGCGGCGGCAGTGGCCGCTGGAGGGTGCAAGAAAGCTCTGCATGGTCGGCCGTCCGGGTTGGTGCGCGTTGTATGGTAAATCCCTGTTCCGGTGTGCGGGGATGAGTCCGGGGCCAGGAGGGCGCTGCTGGTGTGTGCTGCTGTGGTGCGGATCGGATGGTGGCTATGAGCAGCTGGTGGAGGAGGAGGCAAGGTGGCCGCTTAGGTGTCCATGTCGGCGCAGAGTCAAAGAGCTGGAGTGGTCGTGTCGGGTCGTATCGGGTGAGTTCGTATCCTGTCGCCGAGCGCGGTGCGGGTGGATGGTGTTCCGAGGGGCGGGAGAGCGATCAGTGGCGAGCCGTTGACGCGGTGACGGTGCCGGTGATGGTGGTGGCGGTGGTGGTGGTGGTGAGAGCAAGCAACTGAAGCACGAGGGCATGCAGCCAGGCCAGGCAGCCAAGGAGGTTGCGGGCGGTGCAGGTCGGATTGAGTCAGCCGCTGCGCTGCTGGGCTGGGCTGGGCTGGGCTGGGCTGGGCTGGGCTGGGCTGAGCTTGGCTGTGGCTGGGCTAGACTGGCCTGACTCTGGCGTGAGCTGCGTTGTGGGTGGGTCGGATCTGGTGCCCCACGGCCTCGGCCCCTCCGCTTCGGCCTTCCATTTCCGATGGGCAGCTGGGGCCTGCACGAAAGGGTGGAGGATGAGCTCATGAAAGCCGGATCCGAACGAGGTCTAGGGCCGGATGGCCACCCGATTGTGCATCGACGGGCTAGCCACCCGATTTTCAGCCAAGGTCGAGAGCAGGTCGAGGCCCTCGTCGTTCACTCAATATTCGGATCCGAAAGAGCTCCACCCATCGGCGAGGGTCTCGTACCCGTTTCAAGGTCGAGCGCGCATGGGCTGGCCGCGTGCGTTCTTGATCCCTGATTCTCAGGCACGGCCGAGCATTTTCCCAGATTCGCCCTCGAGCATGCTCGCGTCTACCCCATTTTTCGCCAAGGCCAGCGCGGGGTAAGATCTCGACGAGGTCAAAACGTGAAAATCCGGGGCAGACGAGCCTTTTCGAAAATTCCAACGTGGGTCGGCGAGGTTCACCGTTCGAAGGTCGGGCCTCGTCGTGGATCTCGAGACGATCGCGGGTTGTGGGGCAGACGAACAGATTTAAAAACAGAGCCGTTACCGAAGCAAATGTTTCTTCGCGATCGAAACTCCAAAAGCCGGAGACGAGGACGTGCGGGGGCCTCCAGTCGAGCGTGGAGACGAGCACATGCGAGCGCGGGGCAGACGCCCATGGATCGACCCCGATCAATGCCCGATGCAAAAATTCCAAGGCCCGACGCTTCCAGGGCGGGGTCGAGCACGGCCCACCCTCACGGTTCAGGCCAGGGCAGGCCAGGGCAGGCCGGCCACGCCTGGCCAGGCCAAGCCAAGCTGGACCGAGCGTCACCCACCCACCCACACCTTCCGCTTGACCATCAGGAACCCACTCCACCACCACACCCCCCCACACACCACACGTCGCAGCACCATCACGAGGATGACGGAAGAGTACACGACGACGCTGTTCCTTGCGCGCGAGTGCTTCGTGTACCGCGTACCGCCACGCACGTCTTCGGCGGGCTACAAGGCGGCCGAGTGGGGCGACATGGAGGCCTTTCTCTGGAAGGGACGGCTGCGCATCCTCGAAGTGGGCCAGCGCGCCTGCGAGATCCGCCTCGAAGACGGCAATACTGGTGAGTCCCGTACCTGCGTCCATCATGGCGCTGGGACGAACAAAGCCATGGGCAACTGACCGGCCCTCTCTTCCCACTCCGACGACGTTGTCGGCTCCCGGCTCGCCTGCTCCCACTCTGCTGCGACTACACCTCGACAGGGGACCTGTTTGCGCTGTGCCCCTACGACATCAGCGGGACGAGCGTAGAACCCGTGCTCGACTCGTCGCGCTACTTTGTGCTCCGTGTCGAATCCGACGCACCGGGCGGCGCGGGCGGCAAGCGGAAAGCCTACATCGGCATGGGCGTGAGTAGCCTTGTCGTCTTCACCCCTCTGCTCCTTGAACCTTCGATCTTCGCCCCTATGTGCTGGGATGACCCAACTGGCCCTCTTCCTCCTTTCTCCTTCCCTCTTCTCCTCCCCCCCCTCC